GGGCAATAAACCAAACAAGGCTCCAATCATATTTTGATCTTATGACAAAAACCAAAATGATAAAATGTTTAACAATTTGCTTGCATACCCATGTACATGAGGTGCTGAAACTGGTTATGTTCTATAAAAAAGGAAATTGTTTGCTGAAACAAATAAGCCTAAAAATCCAATATAAATTCCATTAAAAGCAAGTGACCTGACTGTCACAATTTTCCAACAAAAAAGGATACTCTTCAGCAATCTCGAGTCTGTACTCTTGTCCAATGACGAGAGTGTGCTTTCCATGAAACTGACGCAGAAGTTTGGCAGGGGTGGGTGCATGAATAACCTGTTCTGGGCTGACCTGCAATTGATACAAATAAAAAGAAAATTAAGTTCTACTTAAAGGACAAAAGCATCCACGAGAAAATCACCTTGAAATATCCTAAAACAAATATATGAAAAATAAATCTGTGAACAAAGGCTTGAAAGTGATGGCCTTGAAAAACTCAACAGCGCCTCTAGCGAAATTTAATTGTTCTACAATTAGGGCTTTGTAAAAAGTCTGTATATGAGAAGGACAACTTCCTGCATTTATAACACAAAAAAAAAAGAAAAGAAAAAAACAGACCATAAACTTGAAAGGTCGTTTAGGCAAGACAAAAGAAAAATCAATTAGAGAAATAATATCTCTATTACAGAATTCTGCTTACCGGCAAATCAAACCAACTGCTAATCTGGCGGGCTTTGTCATGACTCCTGTTGCAAGCATTGGTAACAAACGCCACTGGGACCTTGAGGTTGCCCTCAGAATCTTTCAGCTTCTCAATGGCTTTCTTTGCAGGGTCCAGAGGAGTGCTGCCTCTTGCCAAAACACCATCCACGTCAAACAAGATACCGAAGTTTACCTGCAACAGAAACAATAAAATCATAAGAATAAATCGACATACAACTAACAAAGGCAATAAAACTGCACCATAATGTAATCATGTAATGTAACAAAGTAAACAAGCAGATTCGAGGACTTTCCCCTATGGTTAACTGAATGAAGATTGACAGGGGGCCTACCCAATTTTGAATCAAGCACTAGGGACCACATTAGAATGTAGGCTAGATCTAGTTCTAGATTATAAAAGATTGAATACGTGTAGATCTAAGCCTACATGCATGATGCACAATTCGAACTGACATGCACATGAGTCATGAACATGAGATAGCTCTAACATCACAAGGGATTGGAAACTGATGTATCAAACCTGTAAGCAACGTTGATGTAGTGTTCTGAACTGATAGGAGACTGGTGTTAAGCATTGATTTCCAGCAAAGTCACACCGACTTATCAACTTTTTGAAAGGGTATCGGCCGGCACCGGCACAATGACTCCCCGAAGCCAAAGATAGAGAGCACACTCGTCTCGCCAATTTGGAGAAGCCGACACATTTGAACCACAGCTGACTGCTCTGGAATAAGACACTTGGATCTATTCGCCGAAAACACCGCATTGTAGAAAGTTATCCTCTCTAGAACAAGTATCTATTAACGATTCAAGAGAACCTTCTAATTTACCCCAGCCACCCGAGCGTTGAAAGACATACAATGTACTAATTCAACACACTGAAGAAACTGTGTTGCTGAAATAGCAGTTACACATTACACAGGCACCGCATGCCCCGGAAGTTGATAAGAAGTGTCACATGGCTTTGTTTACATCGAGTTGTAAACAAGGAACTTGTGGTCGGGTCGGACTATCAGAAGAATTAAATAAAAGAAAATCTTAACTTAATATAATTTCCACTTTAATACTTACATCAGATGATCCATCCAGGAGATCTGAGCCCATAGAGACATCAGAGTTATCTGGAAAAGAGAAGAAAAGAAAGGCACGTTCGTTATTGAAGGTAGATCTAGTAGACCCGAGCGCGCAGAAGAGCGCACTGCACTGGGAGTTGATTTTTCTTTCTTTTTTTTTTTTTCCAATTTCAAATAATATTCTATTAATTTATTTCGATGAAAGGACCACCTCAAGAAATAAAAAAATTTTTTTTCCGGGATTTAAAAAATGCAAGATGTTCACCGCAATTATAATGCTTTAATTCAACGTTCGTCTGAATGATTTCAATGTTAGATGACACCGGTAGCATGGCATCGATCATCCACGCAGAAAGAATATCAACCAGTAAAAGTTAGAGGTAACTGTTGATTGATTTCAGCAAAGTTCTAATGATCTTTTTTTTGTGTTTTTTTTTGGTGGTATCTTACCAGTCGAGTATCCATCAGACTCCTCGCTGCCTTGGTGGGTGATGGTGCGCATGTTGAATTAATTCAAGTTGCGTTCGCGGGGGTAAGTAAACGGGATGAAAACAATTATTATCAAGAACACGAGTCAAACAGTGTCAGATCCAACTAGAAGTTGAAATAACTGTCGTCAGGATTGAATAAGTCTTTCGCTTGCTCTTTGGGTAGGTTCACTTTGGTTGAGCGCTAAGATCCTTTCTGTTTTCATCTAGGTAAACCGCCGGGTTTTATAATAATTTTGGAGACATGTTTACATGACACATTTGCATAGCTCCAACCTCATTGGCTGGTAATGCAGTCAGGGGCATTGGTCATGCGCAGAAGCGCAATTCATATTTTGTACTAGAAAGTCGGTTAGGCCCGCACCACTTATTCTTGAAACTCAGAAGTTGACCCGTTCTTCAACCTCGATAGCGGTTAGGGGGAGGGGAGGGGTTAAAAAAAAGGAGAAATATCGGTTAAGGCTTGACAAATGCAGTCGAGTGTGCACCTATCAGAACAGCTGAAGTCATCAGTTTGTAGCAACGTTGAACGAAAAGCGAGGTCACCGGCCACTCTATCAGTCAGCTGGGGTCGTCAGCTGACGTAGTCAACACAGACGCCCGAACAGCTGATTGCCAAAACAACCCGAGCACGTGGAAGTTAGTTGAGGTTGAAAGTCCCTGTGACGATCGGGTCGCTTTCGATAGATTGTGCATTACGTTCTTTGGAAACTCCCAACCACTTTAAATGTGAGTTTTATTTCCAATATAGTTTAGCGTACGCACTCCCCCCCAATAATTTTTTAAAATTAAAAAATACAAAAAAATTGATTGCAGTTTACAAATTTACCTTGCAGTTTGATGATGGATAATATAAGGAAACATCATTACCGAAATTAATTATAATTATAGCTAGATCTAAATAGACAAGTAGACATACAACAGAATATCAAAGCTTTAGATCAAACACATGAACACTCTCTGAAAGACGTGTAAATCTACTTTGAAGGACGTTCATTAAAATTCAACATTATAATATCCTCCCCCCC